CTCCTCCACTCTGCAAACCCCCCTCCCTTCTAGCACTGATGATGTTACCTAGCTGGGTCATGAAACGTCTGCAAGAGAACAAGCAAGCTCAGAGAGCACCCAGGATCCCTCATCGCAGCAATGACTGCTGAAAATTGTCCGCCTCCACGGGTAACTCAAGAAGACAACCCTGACACTTTCTTACCTGCCTGCAGTCATCACCCACTTTAAAGATGGCGGCCTGCCAGCAAATCTTCTTACTCTCCCTGCTGTCTTCTCCGCATTCGTCTATTGAGTCTGAACGACAACGCAGACCTAGAAGGCGGGGTAGAGAACCCATACCATCTCAGTCAGGTGATAGTGTCATCAACACAATTGCATGAACATGGATTTAAGCACACTTAAATGGGGGGGGGGGGCTGGCATGCTGTAGTTCATGGGGTCACCAAGAGTCAGACACAACTTAGAGACTGAACAACCACCAAGTGCTGGAAGGGACCGCCAGAACCATCCACAAGAACCCATCCCCTCTTCACATTTGACAGCCCAAGTATTTTGAGCTTCAGCCCAAACCAAGCTCCTCAAATGTTTTGGTTCACGTCATAAAAAGGGGTCCACTGCACTCACCTTCTCTTTCCAGTTCGCTCACTCCACACCTCTTCACCTTGAACCTGGCCAGGTAAGGGGCTTTGGCAGCGCTGGAAGGAAGCACAAATGGGTCAGGGCCAGTAACTGATCATCCCTGTTTTGTTTTATTTTTTAAACTGAAGTAGAACAAGCCGGAAAGGCCCTACCTTTGCATAGGCGTTCCCGACTTGTAGTCAATATCCAAAACAATGGCTTCTGGGTTGCTTGGCAAATAGCACCCTATTGGGAAGGGGAGAAGAGAATCCTTGGGGAAAACCAGCCAAGAGGTTGAGCTAGCAGAGGGGGTCTTCCAACTTGGCCCTTTGATGACTGGTGGACTTCAACTCCCAGAATTCCTCAGCCAGGCAGGAGTTCTGGGAGTTGAAGTCTACCATCAAAGGCCAAGTTGGAAGACCCCTGAGCTAGCAAGACGAGTGAGGGAAGACAGCAGAAAAGACATTTTCTCCTCTTTATGAGGAGGCCTCCACTTACAACCGTTCATTTAGTGACGGTTCGATGTTACAGCGGCACTGGAAAAAAATGACCTATGACCCCTTTTTCACACTTAACAACCGTTGTTGCAACATCGACCACAAAATTTGGACGCTTGGCAACTGGCTCGTATTTATGATGGTTGCATTGTCCGGTGTGTGTGTGTGTGTGACGTGATATCCTTTGGCGGCCTTCTGACAAGCCAAGTCAATGGGGGGAAGCTGGATTCACTTAACAACCGGGTCACTAACTGAACAACTCCAGTGATTCTCTTAGCAACGGTGGCAAGACAGGTCGTAAAATGGAGGCAAAAGTCAATTAACAACTGTCTCCCCTAGCAAGAGAAATTGTGGTTGTCAAGTCCAAAATTATCTCTAATTGTTCGTTTCTTACCAGGTTGTACTTTCACTTCAGATAAAGCACTCAAGCAGGCCTTTTTTCGCTCTTCGCCTTTAGGATAAGGCCTACAGGGGGGAAAGAAAATCCCAACACATTGCGGTATTTGAATTGTGAATTCTAATAATAATAATAATAATAATAATAATAATAATAATAATAATAATAATAATAATAATAATAATAATAATAATAACAACAACACAACAACAACAACAACAACAACAACAAGCATACAGCGTACAGCTGATTGATATCGCTGTATCAGGAGATGCCAGAGTCGAAGAAAAAGAATTTTATACTCACTTGATGATGGCTGAAACGTTGGTGATTTTGTTGAAGAAATCAAATTCCCGTTGGTAAAACTCCTTCGCTGGACCAGACAGCGAACCAGTTATTTCCTCCACCAGCTGTTCCAGCAGTTCCCCAATGTCAGCTACGTGAAAGAACAAGCAGAAGGAGGAGTGTGAAGTTTGTGGGGTCCTTGGTGCTCTCTTGAGCTTGATGGTTTTCTTGCAGATGCTTCATGACCCAACTAGGTAACGTCATCAGGGCTAGAAGGGAGTGGGGAGGAAGAGGATTGTGGGGTCCCTGGAAGGGACAGCTGCTCAAGAAACTCATCGCGCAACGTCTCCAAGCAACGGTCCACTCACGGTCTTTCTGGTGTCCCTCTTCATCCAGGTAGATGTTTGTCTTCATATTCCAAATGAACTGGTGAGCCAGCAGCTGGGACTTGGAAGCTGCCCAGAGGATGTACTCCCTGACGTAGCCCATCTGTGAAAATACAACAGAGTGGGTCTTCTTCTAAGCATGGCTTTGACCAGGAACATGTTGAGACAGAGAAGCCCAGATGCCCTAATGCAGGGATCCCCAACCCCTGGTCTGTGGACCGGTACCGGTCCGTGGCATGCCAGCAACCGGTCCGCACAAACAAGCAAAGCCCCATCTGCAGGATGCAGACAGCACACAAAACCACGCACCCTCTGGTCCGTGGAAAAAGCTTTCTCCACGGAACTGGTACTTGGTGCCCAAAAGGTTGGGGACCTTTGCCCTAATGGACCAGTTCCCCCCATTAAATCCCAATCAGGGAAGGTCTTCTTATGTATCTTCCTTAATTGTTGGAGACTCGCATTTTATTAGTGATTTATTGAAACTCTCTAGTTTATCCAAGTATTGTAGAAACAATGAATACATCTGTCTATCTGTCTATTTGTGTCTATCTGCCCATCCATCCCTCCATATCCATATCCATATCTATCTATCTCTCTGTATATCTCTACTTACTGACTCTATCCATATCTATCCATCCATCCCTATCCATCATCCATCCATCCATCCATCCATCCATCCATCCATCCATCTTTATCTTTCTTTCTATGTACCTACTTATCTATCCATATCTTTTAATTTATATGTCTATCTCTCCATCCATCCATCCATCCATCCATCCATATTTATCTATCTTTCTATCTACGTACATATCTATCTATCCATATCTTTTCATTTATATGTCTATCTCTGCATCCATCCATCCATCCATCCATCCATCCATCCATCCATCCATCCATCCATCCATCCAAATGGCATAACCTGAACATTTACTGCATGCCAAAGAACCCAAGTGCAAGGATTGTATGAAAAAGGCCTAAAGTTCAATTCACGGCACTTTTCAGTGAAAAAGGACCAGGTGGCCCACAGATACTGGATCGTCCTAAACTCATCTAACTGAGGACATCCCTTCACCAAAGTTTTGCCGTCTTTATCTGCCCTTACCTTGTCGTATCGAAGGGCCTGCACAATCTGCGGAATGTAAAACAGAATAGCATCCTGGGGGGATGGGGGGGTGGAGGGAGGGAGAAGAAGGAAAAAAGAAGTTAGGATTTCTTCTTTTCTTTCAAAGCACTTACATTCTGGCTTCACGAGCCTTTCCTCCCATCATTAACAGGCAAAGAGCTGCATATTTTTTTGGGGGTATTATCATAAAACGAAATGCAAAAATGTAGAGGGATATTCAATGTGCCTGCAAAAGTCACAAGGCTGTGAAACATCTACTGCCCTTGTTATTGTTGTTATTTGTTGCTGGCAGAGTCAGCCAGATCTGTAGAATGCACTTGACGTTTATACCCATCTATCAAGTCCTTCCCAAGGACCTGGGATGGACAGAGGTGGGGGTTTGATGGGGTTAAAGGTCTCGCCGCAGGACGTCAGTAAAGCTGAGTAAAGCTTTACTGTAAAGCTAAGTCCCAAGTAAAGCTGCCTTTTGCAATTGACTGGTGGTGAATATGTCAATGTCAATGGTAATACATTATGGTTCTTCGCACAGCCAGATGTTTAGATTGGAGCTGGCATTTTTGTCCACCTATCACGCCGTTCTCAAGGACCTGGGATAGGCAGATGTGCTTGTTCGATGGTATTAGAGGTACAGGGAATCCTTGATTTACGACAACTTGAGCCCAAAAGTTCTCCTGCTAAGTGAAACTTTCGTTAAGTGAATTTTACTCCCCTTTCAAGACTTTCCTTGCCACATTTAAGTGGATCGCTGCAGTTCTTAACTTAGCCACACGGTTGTTAAGTGAAACCGTGGACTTCGCTTATCAGAAGGTCGCAAAAGGGGATCACGTGACCCCCCCTGCCACCGTCATAAATACGAGTCAGTTCACGTGACCCCCCCTGCCACCGTCATAAATACGAGTCAGTTGCCAAGCGTCTGAATTTTGATCACGTGGCCATGGGGATGCTGCAAGGGTCGTTAAGTGTGGGAAACGGCCGTAAGTCACTTTTTGAACAGTCACTGAATGAACTGTTGTAAGTTGAGGACTACCTGTATGGTCACAGGATGTAAGCTGTTCTAAGCTACTATTAGATCCCTCGGCCCTTCCACAACAGCCTCTTTACTTATTTTCCCAGGAATTTCTTGTCTCTTCCAGCTCTCAGGCAAATGGTTAAATCCAAGACAGGGATAACTCAATCGTTGTATCCTCTGAGGAACTCTCGGCTGAACTTTGGAGCAGAAAACTCCACGTAAGCTACACCCCACGGACTTTTAACCCTCTCGATGTGGGAAAGGGAAGCTGTGCTTGTCCTTTGCTACTACAGATAGTTCTCGACTTACGACCACAACTTTGGACCAGGATTTCCGTTCCTGAGCAAGGGGGTTGCTAAGTGGACGATGCCCAGTTTTGCGACCTTTACAGTAAATTGAACTGAGCTGAACTGAATCTTTTATTTGACCGAGTGCGATTAATCAGAATACAGCTGGAAGGGACCTTGGAGGTCTTCTAGTCCAGCTCCCTGCTCAAGCAGGAGACTCTGGCCTAGACCATTTCAGACAAATGGCTGTCCAATCTTTTCTTAAAAACCTCCGGTGATGGAAAACCCACAACTTCTAGAGGCAAGCTGTTCCACTGGTTAATTGTCCTCACTGTTAGGAATTTTCTCCTTAATTCCAGCTTGCTTCTCTCTTTGATTAGTTTTAGAATAGAGTAGAGTAGAGTAGAGTAGAGTAGAGTAGAGTAGAGTAGAGTAGAGTAGAATAGAGCAGAGCTGGAAGGGACCTTGGAGGTCTTCTAGTCCAGCTCCCTGCTCAAGCAGGAGACTCTGGCCTAGACCATTCCAGACAAGTGGCTGTCCCCTCTCTTCTTAAAAACCTCCAGTGATGGAAAACTCACAACTTCTGGAGGCAAGCTGTTCCACTAGTTAATTGTCCTCACTGTTATGAACTTTCTCCTTAATTCCAGCTTGCTTCTCTCCTTAAGTAGTTTCCATCCGTTGCTTCTTGTCCTGCCTTCCTTCAAGTGCTTTGGAGAACAGGTTGACCCCCTCCTCTTTGTGGCAGCCCCTCAAATAACGGAATATTACTGTCGTGTCACCCCTAGTCATCTCTAAACTAGGCATACACCATTCCAGCAACCGTTCCTCATCTGTTTTAGCCTCCAGTCCCCTAAATCATCTGTGTTGCTCTTCTCTGCACTCTTTCCAGAGTCTCAACATCTTTTTTGACCTCGTAGAGACCAAAACTGAAGTTGGGAAAAATGCAGAGGGCTCACTGAGGAGCCCAGGATCTACAGAACTTCAGCGCAAAGAGGTTCTAAGATCCTTCCAGCAAACGGCTTACTTACCGGAGGGAAAGATCGAAGCACTTTCACCCCATACTGAGCGGTCAAAGGATGAGGAGGGTACATGCTGGAGAAATACGAGAGGCCCGTCGGTGGGTCGGTAGGGGTCCAGCACAGGATGTGGCTCAGCTCCGGAGCATCGGCGTCGATGGTGTGCCAAGTAACAAGATACTGAAAAGAGGGAGAGGGGGAAATACACACACATACACACACGTGAACCCCAATGCTAGCAGAAGGATGAATCTCAAATAAATTGTCCAGACTGTGGGATAATAAACTGGGAAATCTAACTGGGAAATGAAGGATTTTTTCTCTCCCCCCCCCCTTGATCAGAACAAGTCTAGACAAAAATTTGTCTCCAGCATCCATGAACCGAAGTTCATATTTGGAGCTTGAGAAATGGTTTGGGGTTTTTTTGCGGTTTTGTGAGTTGCGGTTCGGATGCTTAGAAAGGAGGCAGTCCTGATGTGATCTTAGAGAGGAAAGTTTGATTATTATTGTGTTTACAATTCCTGAGAGAAGCTGTTTTTTTATATTTCTTTTCCTGTTTTTTTTCTCTTCTGTTATTTTTTCTCTCTTCCCCCCCCCTTTTCGGTTTCCTTTTTTCCCTTTCTTTTCTCTTTCACGTTTACCGTACCTTTTTCTCGGAATGTACGTCTTATTACCTATGTAAAAATCTTTCAATCTAAACTATAAAAAAAGGGAAATGTTTCCCATGGGGGCTGTATAAAGTCATAAAGTTTCTTGTTCATCCGGATATCTTGAAATCCTGGGGCAGATTTAACAAGTGAGCCATATATTCTGATTTACAAGCCGCAATGAGTGGTCCCACCCACTGTGGTTAACTGAAGTCAAACCAAACCGATCATTTTATCTCTGGAAACAATTCCCAG